TAGGGATGGGGTGGGATCAGGATTGGTGAGGGTGATTTTTGGTCTCAAATCTGGATTTCAAGAGATCCGTGTTTTGGGAATTCAGGGTTTGGAATTCTGGGAATTCCGGGAATTTCAGGAGGTGGGGGGAAAGAAAACCCGGGGGGAAATTGGGGTGTAGGGATGGGTTTGGGGGTTTAGGGATGGGGTGGGATCAGGATTGGTGAAGCTGATTCTCAGTTTCAAATCTGGATTCCCAAGAGATCCAATTTTGGGAATTTAGGGTTTGGAATTCCGGGAATTTTGGGAATTCTGGGAATCAAGGAGAATTGGGGTTTGCATGGGTTTGGGGTTTTAGCGATGGGGTGGGATCAGGATTGGTTAGGACGAAATCAAGAATGAGTCTCAGCTTCAAATCCGGATTTCCAAGAGCTCCAACTCTGGGAATTCCGATGTGGGATTTTCCATCCCATTCCCATCCCACTCCCGGGGTTTTTCCCGCTTTTTGCACTCACTGCACTGGATGGAGGAGAGTTTGGAGGTGAAGGGGGCGGCGATGCTGGCGTCCCCCAGCTTCACCACGGGGGCCCTCTCCTCTTCCAGGTCCCTCAGCACCTGGCTCAGCCGCTCCTGCGGGATTGGAAATTCCCAAAAATCCCAATTCCCTGGTTTTATGTCCCTTCCCACCTCCAGAATTCCAGTTTTTATTCCCCGTTGATCCCAAATTTCAGGCCCCTCACAGCCCCCAAAATACCAAGGTTTATTCCCTGTTTATCCCAAACCTCAGGTCCCTTCCCACCTCCAGAATTCCAGGATTTATTCCGTGGTTTTATCTCCTTTCCCACCTCCAGAATTCCAGGGTTTATTCCCTGGTTTTATGCCATTTCCCACCTCCAGAATTCCAGGGTTTATTCCACGTTATCCCTTTTCCCATTGAAATTCCCCCTCTTTTCCCCCCATTTCCCACTGGATCCACCTGGAATTTTCGGAAGTTCCCTCCCACAGATTAGGACAGGATTGGGATCAGCTCCATCCCCACCCAAACCATCCCAATATTCCCATTCCCTAAATCCCTCCGCTCCCAGGGCTGAAAATTCCCGGCTAAAATCCCAATTCCTGATTTAAAGCCAAAAAATCCCGGGAAAAATGGGGAATTCCCACCCTGTGGATGGCCAGCTGCTCCTCCCGCTGGGCCAGGAGTCGCTGCTTGGCTCCTCGGGATGAGGGTTTGACATTCCCGGCCGGAATTCCGGCCCTGCCGTCCCCGAGGCCGTCCCGGGGCCGCCGCTTCCGCTCGGGAACGCGCTCCGGAGCGTTGGCCAGCAGGGCCACGCCTGGCAAATGGGGG